ATAATATATATATTATATATATATAATATAATATATATATAATATAATATATATATATATTATATATAATATATATATATATATATAGTGCTGTTTCTGTATGACAACCCAGTGACAAGGATGCCTGCAGCGCCAGCACGTTATGACATCACGTGTGCCGTTGAGTTTAGATTTGTGAAAATGTACAAATATGCACTGTTCAAATGTTGTCATTGTGTTAGAGAATAAATGTTATGAATAAATGTGACATTAAACACAATCCATGTTGAAATGTTACATCATTTTCAGCCCCTCTATGGCATCTGAATTTGGTAGCAAGCCAAACTGACAAAGACCATGCTGAATAATCTAGTATTTTAATTCCACAGCAAAGAAAGCTATATAGTCTCTGTAAGTAGGTCTAGGGAAAAATATCGGGATTGGTATCGGTTTTTGGTCAAATAAGTTTTAACATATCGGCATATTGCATATCGGCCAAAAATCCGATATCGTGCATCCCTAATTGATTACCGGTGTTTTTAATGAACACATCATCAGTGTGACTACTTTTATCAAAGCAGTGAATTTGGTCATTTTGCTTCTATGGAGCATACAGATGTTATTGGTTGGGTTATAAGACAATTTCCAAACAATTTGCAGTTTATCATTTTATTGTAAGAACGTTTATTCACAAATGAAAAGCATTTAAGACAACTGCCAGTCTTCCCAGGAGAGCATGCCTCAGTAAACTCACCCTAAGGTCAGACAGTGCAATGTTCAGAGAATATGCAAGAAAACAAAACAACTCAAGAGCCCCATCTCAGACTCTACAGGCCTCAGTTAACAGGTTGAAGGTTAAAGTTTGACTGGACGGTTAGAAAAAGACGGAGCAGGTATGGCTTGTTTGTAAAAGTGGCCTTGAGAAAACTGTTGGATAAATTAATGACCTTTTCACCATCTATTGAATCAAGTAAGCCACACTGATGATATGAGAAGATCTTTTCAACCCAGTTTTACTTGCAAGGGAGCAGAATTGAAAACAGGCTTACACAGATATTACATGGAAGCTCCGGTCACAAAGTCTGCCCACCGACAGTATAAAGAAGTGTCTATTTATGATGCTTATCAGACAGAGAGAGGTCAAGGCAACTTCTGCTTCACAGCTCACAGATCTGAAGACGTCAGAAGTTATCAGTTATCAGTTATGCAGGCTCCTCTCTGAGTAGACAAAAAATACTCTCTTGACCCCACACACTTGGTTCTACATTAATTTAACATTAGTAAGTGATAACATCCATGACCTTTACCTAAATTCCCCTGACAAAAACCTCTTCTCTGAAGAGCACATGGCAGCAAGTTTGACGTTTGCAAAGTTTTATCTTAACAACCCACAAGATTCCTGGAACAATGTCCTGTAGAGAGATGAGACCAAAAAACAGCCATGGCATATCAGCACAAACAGGTTATGCCACCTGCCAAGCATGGAGGCGGCAGGCTGATAATTTGGGCTTGTTTTTCAGCCACATGACCAGGGCACCTTGCTGTTGGTGTATTCTAGAGTCAAACATAAGGCCATCTGTCTGACAAAGTCCAGACTTTATTCAAGTACAGTTGTGTGAGAGCTGCTCAGGAAAGTCTCTGAACATAAATGACATAAAGCTATGCTGGAAAGAAGAGTGGGCCAGAATTCATCCACAACCACATGATAGACTAAAGGCTCCCACTTACCTGGTACTCAGGCATACTGTGTGTACTCCATGAGCTGCGTGGACACCGTGCACAGACGGTTGAGACTTCATACTCGAGCGGACACCCTGATGGGCTGCAGCCCAGCTCCGCAGGCAAGGGGCGTTTACATTTGGGACAAATTGAGGTATCAGATTGGTCATTTGCTGACACCCCTACTGGATTGATTGACAGGTCGGAAAAAAAAACGAGAGCTGCCAGCGGCTCTGGATAGAGGCAACTGGCAGCTCTCCTTTTTTTATTGTTGTTAATAAAACAAACATTCTAAAAAATAAAAAAAAACAGGGACCGCTGGCCCTGCAGTCCACACATCAGACCAGCCCACCAGAAAATCTCCAGACACTCCTGCAGCCATGCCGGGCCTGATTTTAATTCTCTTGTGACAAATTCCTTCATTTCTCATGATTTCAGTCATGGCATCAATGTACGAGGAGGAAGACATCGCTTGCCTCTTGGCAAAAAGCAAATGAAAAGGCCATTAAACCAGACCAGGGATGAAGAAGGTGAATTTAATACTTTGGTGTCGCAACAAAACAGTCCGTCACCGGGCAGTTTATTGTGCGACACCGAGTACACGGTTGTAAAAATTGATCTTTGCATGGACATGGCTTGCGGACGTCCACTTCGAGTCCACGTTGAGCCTAATTGGGTACTCACGGACCTCTGCGGAGTGAAGTACGCCCGAGTATATGGGAGCCTTTAGTCCTACAGAAAAGACTCTTAATCATCATCGTTATTGCCACTAAAGGTGGATCTACACACAACTGAATCATGAAACATGCTCTTTTTCACACAAATGTTAGCAGTTTTGTTTACTTCTGTTTAATAAATATTAACATGGTGGGGTCTTGCTTGCATGCTTATCTTGTGCATCCTAGTTCCTGAGTGTTCATCTGTGTTAAAACAAGACTAGATGCAGAGTTTAGCTCGATGTTCCGACTTTTAACCCCCAACACATGGACTTCATTGTCAGGTTGCTGCTCTCCCACGGTTCCTGAGTCAGAACTGTACCGCAGTGTCCAGGCTGTGCTGCCCCGGGGAATGGACCAACAGCGGCCTATGGACTTGTGTAATCAAGGTAGAAAATCATCTGCATCAGCTGAAATTCTACAAGGTTTAGTCAACAAGCTGTTTGATAATCATATTTTACTTGTGCTTGTAGTTTACTGTGCTCACATATTATAAAACCAACCTTGTCAAAGGTTCAGTTTATTCACAATGGAAGAATATTTGTTGCTAAGTTAGCTTCCTCTGTTTTTGTTTCTGTGTTGCTCATTATCTAAGACCATTACTGGACTTTCCTTCTGTGCACAGATATTTGTTGAAGCCAACATTGACTCGTACTGTGGAATAAAGCCACGTCAGCGTTTTGAGGCCTGCAGACATATTTCAGATTAGCGCTGTAACGAGAAGCAGTGCGACTCTGTCAGTCATTGTGTTGCTGGCTTGTGTGTCTGTGTGCAGGCATGCTGAGATGGACACTTCATAAAAAAGTTCTAAACAGTCCGGTGAACAGTTTATCTCTCCTGTGGGTGCTGATAAAGGAGCTAGAAAAGGTATTGCAACGACACATTCTCAGACTCATCTGTAATACCTCAAACGTGTGCTTGTGGTGAAGTCTTTTGCTCCAGTTGGTTCTAAAACGTCTTGAGCTTGTACTTTCAAAAAGGAAGGAAGCTATAGTTGCTTTAGACACACAACAAATAAATGTCACTATTTTAGTCACAGCTTTTTGTGAACCCTGATGCGCTTCGTGTTTCTCTGTAGGCTGAACGATGGGATTCTCGCAAATTCATCATTCCTTTGCTCCACACGCTGATGTACGCCATCGTTCAGGTGCAGTATTCTCTGCCAAACTGTGGCAGTTTAAAAAAATCTAATCAGATTTACTTATCACTATCATTTTCACGGTATTTATTAAATGCATATGGCTTTTTTCTTTATCACCCACCAGCGAAGGCAAAAAAAGGATTAAGTACCATTTACTTTACCAAGTCAACCCAATTTAAGATGGCCACCACAGCTAATCAACCATAGTCAACATATAAGTAGCTGTAATTCAGATAGATATCCAGATATTGAGCTAAAGTTTGATGTGGTAGTAGCTGAGAGTCATCCTCAACAAATTCATTGAGCACTACTTCATAGTCTCTGTTATAAAAGGTGGTGGGCACATTCCTTCAATGAATGCTGACCTTTAATAAAATGTCAGGTTTTTCTTAAACACAACTGAGAAGATTTTACTGTGAACAATGTCTTGTTAAATGCCAAAAACAGGTTAAATTGTGTCATCTGGACCAGTTTCTTTAAGTGAGAAACATTTTGTTCCCCATCCAGAGGACTTCCTCAGTCTACGGCCTGCCATCCAGATCTGTTCCATAGGTAGCCTTCACTGCTGTTTCAAGCCAACCTCCTGTTGGAATCTCAAAAGCAGGCTTTTAACATGTGCAAAACAATCAATCATCATGTACAACAATCAAATGTTTTAAGCCAGATGGCCAACTTGTTACTCACAGATACAGCCAGATGACAACCAAGGCCAAAGTTGTTCAGAAAACGGGTTGTAAGCTCAATCATCGAGGTAGATAACAACATAAAAGGTTAAATTGTGTCATCTGGACCAGTTTCTTTTAGTGAGCTGATGATTGAGCTTACAACCCTTTCTCTGAACCACTTTGGCCTTGGTTTTCCTCAGGCTGTTTCTGTGAGTAACAAGTTGGCCATCTGGCCTAAAACATTTGATTGTTGTACATGATGATTAATTGTTTTGGATGGGTGTGTTGTGCATGTGTTAAAAGCCTACTTTAGAGATTCCAACAGGAGGTTGGCTTGAAACACAACAATGAAGGCTACCTATGGAACAGATATGGTTGGCAGGTTGTAAACTTGAGGAAGTCCTCTGGATGGTGGACAAAACGTTTCTCGGTCAAAGAAACTGGTCCAGACGACACGATTTAACCTTTTTTTTTTTGGTTATCTACCCGGTTGCTTGAGCTTACAAATCTTTTTCTTGTTAAATGCATTTCCAAGTACTGGAGTCTAGTTTTGCCTATAGTTCTTGACAGGAGGGGGATCATGGACATGAATTCCCAGAAATTGAAACTATCAAAAAGGAAGTTGTAACTCTTGATGCTGGCACTTCATATGTTGTTTGTCATACCATAGTGTCGACAGAAAGACATTGTGATGGTTGCCCTTGGCTGTTCATAAAAAGTTATAAATGGTTTCTGTTCCTGTATTGCTCATTAACCTGCGGTGTGCTTTGTGATATTTCAGACAGCCTACATTCCAGATGAGCTGTACAAGCGTGTGTATGACTTTTGTAAGAGACTTCTGACCTATCCTCAGCCTTATTGCACTGTGGGTCTCAGCTACACAAGACAGATAAAAACCGAGCGCCTCATCCCAGGTAGGTGACTGCAGCTCTTACAAAAATAGCAATCAGCTTGAAAAGATTAAAAAAAAGTTGAAATACAGTTGATATTATGTGACGTTTGGTGTGAGTGAGCTAAGTGTTTTCAAAACCAAACATATGAAAAACAAACTGACATTCACTGTTTTTGTTTCTGATGACATGGATATTAGTTTTACTTTAAATATATTTTTCCCTTTTATGAACCATACCATACCATACCATTTTATTTATAGAGCACTTAAAACAGCGACAAGGCCAACCAAAGTGCTGTACAGACAGAAAAACAGGCAACACACAAAGCAATATACAAAATGAGGTAAATCAGAATATAGACATAAAAACGATGCAGATAATAAATATGATGACTAACCAGTGTGGAGCATACAGGTTCAAAACAGATCATCTGGTATTGAAAGCTACTGAATAGTAGTGGGTTTTTAAACAGGACTTGAAAACCGAGAGGAAGGGGGCCTGTCTGACAAGCAGAGGCAGCTCGTTCCAAAGTCTTGGGCCTGCTACAGAGGCCTGTCACCACTGCACTTAAGACGAGTTCCTGGAACTGTGAGGAGCAACTGGTCTGCTGACCTCAGGGAGCGTGGTGAGACATACGGCTGTAGCAGATCAGAGAGATGGGGGTGGGGGGCGAAACTGTTCAGCAATTTGTAGACATACAAGAGTATTTTGAACTGGATTCGACGGTGAACCGGGAGCCAGTGCAGTGAGGCCAAAACTGGAGTAATGTGCTCTCTTTTGCCTGTACTGGTTAAAAATCGGGCTGCTGCATTCTGGACTAGTTGTAGTCGTGCAATGGAGGTCAGACTGATACCAAACAGGAGTGAATTGCAGTAATCAAGCCTAGATGTAATGAATGCATGTATTACTGTCTCCAGGTTATTTTTGGATAATATGGGCTTCAGTTTAGACAGGCGCCTCAATTGGAAGAAACATGATTTAACAATCATGTAAGCATGATTGTTAAGTTTCAGGGAAGGGTCCATTATCACGCCCAGATTTGAGACACTTTGTTTTTCTGACATGGTTAGAGCGGAAAGGTCAATGCAGTGGTTTGTGATTGTGTCGTTGGGAGGGAACAACATGACTTCAGACTTCTTTTCATTGAAACTTAAGAAATTTAAAGCCATCCAGTCCCTGATGTCAGCCAGGCAGTTGAGCAGAGGTTGAATAGAGCATGTATGGTGATGTATGATGTTCTAGAATTGCGCCGCTCAAGGTGGCTGCGTGTTGGAGCAGCTCTGTTAATTTCATTTTGAGATTTTGCTTTTGGAAACTTTAATTCCTCTTTTTCTGGATGTAAATCACATTTTTTTGGATGATTGTTTCCTCTGGTATCAGATGCTGTGCAGCAGGAAGGATTTTTACTGAAACTTTTTTAGTTTTGGACATTTGTTATGATGCATAACCATGGCAACAAGGCAGTTTTCTACAACCAACAGCAGCTGAATAACATCTCAAAAGCTCAAATGATATCTCAACTACAGCCCCAAATGAGTTGAAAAGGATGTTCTGTGGATGCATTCTCATCTACCTGCCAGCTTTGCTTGAGTGCCTGACCACTGAGATCCTGGAACTAGCGGGAAACACGGCTCATGACAGCGGAAGGACAGGATCGTCCCTTGGCACCTACAGTTGGCTGTCCGCAGTGACGAGGAGCTCGGCAGACTGCTGGGAGGAGTGGCCATTGCTCTGGGAGGAGTTCTGCCCGGCATTTAGGCAGTCCTACAACCCGGGGGAACTGAGAGACCAGCCGAGTCTGGGTGAACGGATCAGATGGCATCTGCAGCCAGTTTCTTAGGATCCACTGTGGGATGGACCTTTACAAGAGATCCTTCCTGCCTACAGCCATCAGTATCCATAACATCTCTTAATGAAATGAGGATAACGAGTTACAACAACAAATAATTTCCCTTTGGGATTAATAAAGTAATTTTGAATTGAATTGAATTGAATTGAATTGAATGTACCATTGTGTCTTAGGTGGAAGTAAATTTGACAGTCATCGGCGTAGAAAGTGAAAAGGTATGTTGTGTTTCCGGAAAATAGCACCAAGTGGCAGCAGGTATAAAGAGAATAGGAGGGGACCCAGGATGGACCCAGGATGGACCCCCGCGGAACCCCCATTTAAGCTCTGCCGCTGCAGAACTGAAATCCTTGATGGAGACACAAAACGATCTGTCAGTGAGGTAGGATTTGAACCAATTGAGAGCTGACCCTGTGATGCCCACCCACTGCTCCAACCTAGCATTGAGGATCTCATGGTCGATGGTGTCAAAGGTGGCTGTAAAGTCCAATAGGACAAGCAGCACAGAATCACTAGTATCTGTGGTTAAGAAAATGTCATTAAAAACCTTCAGTAGGGCAGTTTCAGTGCTATGGAGAGGTTTAAAGCCAGATTGGAATAGCTCTAAGATAGCGTGACCCTCCAGGAAGCACTTCAATTGGGACTCAACTATTTTCTCCAGTAGTTTAGAAACAAATGGGAGTCCGGAGACACGCCGGAAGTTGGATACGACTGAGGGGTCAAGGTTTGGTTTTTTCAGGAGAGGCTGGACAGCAGCATGTTTAAAGGTTGTTGGCACCACGCCAGTGGATAAACTGCTATTTACAATAGCAAGAATGGACAGACCTAGAGTAGGAAAAACCTCCTTTAGTAGTCGAGGGGGGACCACATCAAAGGGGGAACCAGAAGGTTTCAAGCTGCACATGACCTGCTCTAGAGAAGATAGAGTGATAGGTTCAAAATGGTCAAATAGAGCTATAGATTGAGGTGGATGTATGGGTTAGGAGGGTCAGGAGTTAGATGGGGGAGGGTGAACTCAAACCGGACTGACATGTGGTCTGAAAAAACATTATCACCAATTTCAAGATTACTAACAGTCATATCACGAGTTAAAACAAGGTCCAGTGTACAGTATGTCCGCGCTCTTGGGTTGGACCATTTACATGCTGAGTTAGGTTAAATGAGTCCAATAAATCTAAAAAGTCCTTAACCAATGGCTTCTCCTGACAGCACACATGCAAATTAAGGTCCCCAATAATGAAAACATGATTATATTTTGATGTGATTTCAGCCAAGAAATCAGAAAACTCATTTATGAAATCCTTAGATCGAGGTGGGCGGTAGATGAGTGCGCATAAAGTCGAAGGCGAATGGCTGAGTTCGAAGATGCTCAAAAATGGTGCGGGAAACTGGGATGGGCAGATGTTTACAGTCAAAAGTTGATTTGAATATTGTTAATAATCCACCACTGTGCCAGCCTGATGTCCGCGGTGCATTAAAATACAGACAGTTCGGTGGCAATAGTTCCGTCAAGGCGCTGGACTCACCCGGAGACATCCAAGTCTCTGTGATGCATAGAAAGTCCAAATCGTGCTCTTGAAAGTAGTCCCTGAGGATAAAAGTTTTGTTGGTAACAGATCTTGCGTTGACCAAACACATCCAGATACTGTCCAAAGTGGACCCAGCAGCGGTGGAGAGAGCACGCGCCAATGGCCGCAGATTTTAAATAACGGCCCCTCCGGGTCCGCCCGTTTGCCGCACCGGCCGACAACTCCCGTTGTCCGGGCACGCGGGAAGCTGGCGATGACCACCAGCTGGAGAGGAAAATGCAGCGCGCAGGGCAGAAAACATCAGCGACAGAAAACCAAAGATCCAGAAGCTGTTGTCGGTCATACACCAGCAGCGAGTTTATGTCCCAGATGAAAAACGAACAAAACACAAATAATCCGAACATCATCAGCAGAGGTGGATTGCAAGCCATGTACACGGGCGCCATCTTACCAGAAGTTATCAGGTATCCAAAAAGCCTTGACATTGATCTAAGTCAGTGGTTCCAAACCATGGTCCTTGAGGAACACCATCCTGCCTGTTTTAGCTGTTTCCCTGCTTTGACACATCTGATTTGAATGATGTGGTGATTAAGAGGCTTCTGCAGAACTTGAGGAAATAATAAAATCACTGAATCAGGTGTGTTGAAGCAGGGAAACAGCTGAAACATGCAGGGTGGTGTTCCTCAGGGACCATGGTTGGGAACCACTGGGTAGACAATGTAAAGTTTGAAGAAATTCTGTCAGCTGTGGTTAACGGTTTTCATTTCAACTTGAAAGCTGGATTAAGGCAACACTGTTGTTAAAATGAGATGTGCACTTGTCAGCTAGGCATCAGTTAAATTGCATTTATTTTGATCAATTTCCACCAGAGACAAAAAAATGACTATGTTTTTATCTATGTCGTGTACACAGTTTGTTTGTCTTTGATATTAGCAAAATATAGAATGAACCTCTGGACAGATTTGAATGCTACTGTGTACACCTACAACAACAACAAAAAACAGCCTACAACTGATTGCCTTTTGGAGTCAGTCAAATCCAAAATAGTTGTTGCAGCTAAATGAGCTTAAAAAACACAAACACGGTCATAATGCAGTATTGTTTACAGATACTGATCTAATAGTAGCATATAATTGTCCTCAACCTGCACTTGATACTCAACAAATTGCACACCTTCCTTTTTTACGACTTTGAGTTTGTATCAACTCTGTTTGTCTGTGAGACAAGTGTTTGTTTAACCACTAAACAGATTGTGTATTTAAAAATGATTAACCTTTAAGTAAATTCAATTCAGTTAATTTATATAGTACCAAGTCACAACAGAAGTCATCTCAGGGCACTGAACAGAAACATTCATAGACATAAAGAAGCAGCAGACTCGTTGAATCTTTACTTTGTCACAGTCTCCCATCCTGAACAAGCACAGAGGAGACAGTGGAAAGGAAAAACTCCCTTTTAACAGGACGAAACCTCCAGCAGAACCAGGCTCAGGATGAGCTGCCATCTGCTTCGACCGGCTGGGTTTGAGAGGACAGGAAGTAGAAACAAACAAACAGAATGATAGGTCTAGGTGAACTTTCTATAGGAGGAAATACAAAAAACATGTTAAGATAGAAATAATTACAAATACAAACAGGTAGAGTAAGTACAGACAGCAGCAGAGTGAGGAAATGTAGTCAGTTTGTCTTCCAGTAGTCTAAGCCTATAGCAGCATAACTAAGGGATAGTTCAGGAAACCCAAGCCAACCCTAACTAGGATTTATCAAAAAGGAAAGACAAGCCCAGTCTTAAAACTGGACAATGTGTCAGCCTCATGGACAGAAACTGGAAGTTGGTTCCACAAGAGAGGGGCTGAAAGATCTTCCCATTCTGCTTTTGGAAACTCTAGGAACCACAAGTAAACCTGCAGTCTGATAACCAAGTGTTTTGTTAGGAAAATATGGAACAATAAGATCTGTAATATAAGATGGAGCTAGGTTGTGTAGAGCTTTTTAGGTTAGAAGTAAGATTTCAAATTCTGTTCTAAATTTGATAGAAGTTGATTTGATTTGAATTTGACAACCTTCAGAGTTGCTATAATTCAAGATGGTCACTACTATTAACCAACATTAGTCAAAACCAATTTGGCTGTAATTTAATCAGTTTGACAGATACAGGGCTAAAATGTGGTGTGGTAGTAGCTGAGAGTGATTCCCAAGTCACACTCTACTCTGTCCCCTCTCCTCATGAACTGATGTGTTATTTTTTTTTTGTTTGTTTTTTTAAATAATCCTGGGCCTTTAATTAGTATGAGCATTTGCAGCTTTACAGAATAATTAACTATTAGTTTTATTAACAGGTCTGATGTACCAGAGGATGGTCACAGCTGAGCAGAGGCTAAAAAGTGAGCATTATCCTTTTCAGGAGAGGTGAGTCATAGTTTCATCAGGTTTCATTATTTCTTTTGGTCTGTATTAAACCTGGCCTCTCACACAGTGACTGCTGGAGACAAGCACCAGCCCCCCACCCCCATGACCCAGGAACAAAAGGGGTGAAAGAAAACAACGGCTGGATGGGCAGTTTAAATAATTTGTCTGTTTTTCCTCGTCTGTCATTAACTGTCTGCAGGGTTTTTGTGTTGGCGGACCCACAGATCTTCAGTGGTCTCTTAATGCCTGTTTTGGAGGGAGATTTGGAGGCATCTGGATCTGCATCAGCTGGATTTGGAAATGTTCTGGATCACATGCGAAACGTGGTTCAACACTCCATCCAGGCTTCTTTAGGACCAGAGAGCTGTCATGGGCAGAAACTGGCTCAGGCCTTAACGGTCAGTTTGTTTTATGGGTTTTACTTCTTTTTCTTCCCCTGCTTTATTTCTGTGTGCTTTCTGATTCCTGTTTCGTTCGGTTAATTTCAGGTTTTCCCAGCCTGAGTTTTTGGTTAGAAGAACAGAGATTTTTTGTAAATTTTGTTTTTATCAGAACTCACTCATGGCCAGAGTTTCTACATTTTATTCTTTCAAAATAAATCTTGATAGCAGAAAGATGTTGTGATGTTCTAATTTAATGTGGTTTTATTCTTTCTTTTTTTTTTTTTGGAACGGGGTGGGAAGAAAGTGTTGAAAAATTCATCTTGACTGGAAAAGCTCTGTTAGGAAACAACTTTTTGTGTCACTGCCAGGTTCCATGTAAAACAAAATAAACCAAGACAGCTGCATTTATTTCTAAAAAATCTCCATTTAACTGGGCTGACTGTTCAAAAATCACTGCCCATCCATCAACCTGACATTTACATGATACAATACAATATATGATATGATTGATATGATATGATATGATATGATATGAAACAATATGATTCAATTCAATTTAAAAATACTTTATTAATCCCAAAGGGAAAGGATTTGTTGTTGTAATTCGTTATCCTCATTTCATTAAGAAATGTTATAGATACTGATGGCTGTAGGCAGGAAGGATCTCTTGTAAAGGTCCGTCCCACAGTGGATCCTAAGAAACTGGCTGCAGATGCCGTCCGATCCGTCCACCCAGACTCGGCTGGCCTCTCAGTTCCCCCGGGCTGTAGGACCGCTCGAATGCCGGGCAGAACTCCTCCCAGAGGGATGGCCACTCCTCCCAGCAGTCTGCCGAGTTCCTCGTTGCTGCGGACAGCCAACTGTAGGTGCCGAGGGACGATCCTGTCCTTCCGCTGTCATGAGCCGTGTTTCCTGCTAGTTCCAGGAGCTCAGTGTTCAGGCACTCGAGCACAGCTGGCAGATAGATGAGAATGTGTCCACAGAACATCCTTACGATCCTGATACGATATGATATATGATATAAAACAGGATATATGATAGGATAAATAACGGAAGCAACAATAGCTGAACATTAAGTGAAAACAAATACACAACCATCTTGCAGTATTTGTATTTTCTCCTTAAGTTTACCTGAGTTCATTAAAAATAGCCAGAAAATGAATATAAGTACACAAAGATTACGTATTTTTGTTTCATATGAGGATGAACAATTCCACTTACTGACTGGTCCTCAGTATTTCTTCAGTGTAGTGAGTGTAATTTGTTCTGTCACAACATCTATTTATCATAAACGCTAACTTAGCTCAGACTTGATTTGTGTTGATAGCATCAGTTGTTGCTCTCCTTCACTGAAGGTTTGTTGTTTCTGGGGTCCTAACAGTACACCTCAGCAGGAGTAACATTATGCACATTTCTGACCTCTCACCTTTTTGCTATGAATGCCATCCCTGTATGTGCTTATCTTCCTGCAAGTGTGTACATTGGATTGTGTGTGTGTATGTGTGTGTTTTGGACAGGACAAAGAAGTAGAGTCATACTTTCAGGAAGTGATGGCGATTTTTGAGCAGAGCGTGGAAGAGGGCAGCAAAGGGGAGGAGAGAACGCTGACCAGCCGTCTTCAGGAGTTGTACCAGAAGATTGTTTCAGACTCCAACTCAGGTATGAGCTCTCTGTCACTGAGTTACAAAACCATGTGATGTAAGCACCACTACCCCTTCAGCTGAGCCATTCGTCAGCTCGCTGGTTTGGCTCAACAGCTGTTTAATAATCTGAAAGCCCAAAGCATTCTGCATTTGGCTCTGTATCAAGAATAAAAACATCAAAAAAGAATCGTCACAAAATGAAATTGAGAATGTTTAATAAGTACCATATTTGACATTAATGTTTTTTATTCATATTATTATGACTTATTGTTATTACTTGCTTTCATATTGAGTAGAATAAGTCCTGTGTACAGCGCTCCTGCTGCAGTTTTGTTTTCTCTTGTAATGTCCAGCTGCTTCAGAATCACACTTCTTATCTCCTGGTTTACCTGCCTTACAACTGTCCACCTGTTCAGCCTACAGTTCAAACCAGATGTTTACATCCACTGTATAAAAAGACAGAAGCATTTATTTCTCACTGTCTGACATTAAATCAGACTAAACCTTTCCTGCTATGAATCAGAGTTTTCAAAATGTGCCCAAATAATGGGAGAGAGAGCATTTCTGATTACTTTCTTCAAAATCACAGGTTTATATACATTTCCTTAGTATTTGATAGCATTACCTTTAAACTAACTCTGATTTGGAGTAAAAGTTTTGGTTTCCTTCCACAACCTTCTTATTAGTTTGCTGGAATTTTGTCTCATTCCTCCTGACAGAACTGATGTAACTGAGAACGTACACCCTTTTTCAGCTCTGCACTCAGATTTTCGATGGAGTTGATTCAGCACCTCCAAATCTGAGACCATGGTCCCTAGTTGGAAAAGGGTGGATTGCTCTCTTCGGGTCGAGGGTGAGGTTCTGCCTCCAGTGGAGGAGTTCAATTATCTCAGGGTTTTGTTCACGAGTGAGGGAAGAACGGAGCGTGAGATTGATAGACAGATTGGTGTAGCGTCTGCAGTATTGTGGACTCTGTGCCGGTCCGCTGTGGTGAAGATAGAGCTGAGTTGTAAGGCAAAGCTCTTTGTTTACCGGTCGGTCTACATTCCTACCCTCACCTATGGTAACGAGCTCTGGGTAGTGACCGAAAGAATGAGATTGCGGATACAGGTGGTTGAAATGTGTTTTCTCCACAGGGTAGCTGGACTCACCCTTAGAGATAGGGTGAGAAGTTCAGTCATCTGGGAGAGAATCGGAGTAGAACCACTGCTCCTCCACATCGAGAGGAGTCAGTTGAGGTGGTTCGAATATCTGGTAAGGATGCTCCCTGGGCGCCTCCTTAGGGAGGTGCTTTGGGCATGTCCAACTGGGAGGAGACCCTGAGGAAGAACCAGGACACGTTGGAGAGACTATGTCTCTCAGTTGGCCTGGGAACACCTTGGGAGTCCTCCCAGAAGAGCTGGAAGAGGTGGCTGTGGAAAGAGATGTCTGGACCTAGAATGATTTGTTCATTTAGCTTTGTAGAGATCTAGTAGAGATCTGTATGAATGGGTAAATGAGGGCACAGACTGTAGTGTAAAGCACTTTGAGTATCTCAATAAGATTGAAAGGCACTATATAAGTACAGTCCATTTACCTCCCTGCTCAAGCTGCTGCTCCCATGACCTGACTTGGGAACAAGTGGAAGATGATATATGGACTGAGTCAGTGTTTTTTCATGGCCACTCCAAAACTAACCTTGTTGTCTTTTAGTACCTAATTATTTAATGCTTAGAGTCCTTATCCATTTGGAAGACACATTTGTACCCGATCTTTCACTTCTTGGCTGATGACCTATGATGCTGCTTCAATATTTCTACATAAAGTTCTTTCCTTGCAATGCCATCTATTTTGTTATGTGCACCTCTTCGTCAGCAGCAAAACGCCTCCACAATCTGATGCTGCCACCCTCGAATGTCACAGCTGGGATGGTGTTCCCAGACTTGAAATCTTCCCTTTTATTCCTCCAAATATAACACTGTTCATTATGACCAAACAGTTCAAGTTTAGTTCCATTAGCCCACAGGACGTCTTCAAAAAGTAACATCAGATTACAGTTAGCAAATCCTTGTGTGTGTTTGAAAACTGTAATCTGACAGGTTAATGTTGTTTCTGTAGAAATGGCTTCTTCCTCGCTGAGCTGGCTTCACTCCCTGTTTGTACAGGACTTTGTTTTACTGTGGACGATAACACTGATCAGGTTCAGTCAGCATCTTCACTGGGTCTTTTTTTTTTTTTTTCATTTAGCCTTTATTTATACAGGTTAGTCTCATTGAGCCACGAGAACTCATTTTCAAGAGAGACCTGTTTAGGGAGCACATGGTGGGGTTAAGGGCCTTGCTCATGGGCCCAGAGTGGGGCGAATGAGGGTGGAGGCAAGTGTGGGTGTTTCACCTACCCCACCCACAATTTTTGATGTTGTCGGGGCCGGGGCGTGAACCGGCGATCTTCGGATCACAAGCCCACCTCTCTAACCTCTGCGCCACCACTCCCATCCCTCTTTAGCTTTCGTTTTAGGATTGATGCGCACATTTCACACCAAAACACGTTCAACTCGGGAACGCAGAGCCGTATGATGGCAGGACACTTCCCATGGTGTTTATATTTGTGTATAATTGTTTGAATAGGTGAGTGTGGCACATCCAGGCATCTGGAAATTGTACCCTGGATGAGTCAGAAGTGTGAAGATTGACTAGTTTCTTTTAATTTTCTCATGATGATAAGACACAAAAAGCAGAGTCTTTGAGGTGTCTCCAACTAACAAATGTTTTAGGATGAAGCTGCTCCCCTGATTCTGACCTCTGACCCTTGGGTCGTCTTCCAGACTCACCATGAACTGTTTTCTTTAAAGTTACGTTTGACTTGAATAATGTCTGAAGTTTTCACACATTCACTGTCCTTGGATTCAGAGTAGAGTTGCAATTGGGTCCAAAAAATCCGACCCGGCCCCAGCCCGTAGTCATCATTTCCGAACCCCACTCGAACCGACAAATTAACAGTAATTACGGGTCCGAACCCGAACCCTCCCCCTGACGTTTTTAATTAAGTTTTGACTGCTTGTATACTTTGTAGTTATTAATGGTCGGTGGACACGTGCAACTGAATAAAAGGGGTAGAAGATCGGAGCTGGGGGTGTTTGTCCTTTCATGGCCGTCAAAGCGCATTAAATACCTGCTTCTGCCTGCATTCTGCATTATTCAGACATGGACCCTGCTTTGACATGTCTGCTTTGGGATCTCACATGTTTGGGTCGTCGTCCGCACACGTCCGCTGAGTGCAGCGGCTGAATGTCCATTTGGGCAATGGATCGCTTCCTGGCACTGCAGTCCCATCTGAATCTTAACTGAACTTTATTTTACCACTTTCAAGGCTGATCAGCTCGCGGTCAAATGGCCGTGTGCGGATGGTGAAAGTATGGCAAGCCATGTTGCCATATAATTGGATCGTGGTTGATCTGCTGATGCAATCAAAAGCCCAACCCCAATCCAGCCCACCCATCCAGCACATTATTATGGCCTGGCCCAAATTTGGGTCGGGCCGAGACAGGCTTTGGGCTCGGGTTAGAAATGACAGCTTTAACTCAAAGTCAGCTACAGTCTGACTAATGTCTACTCTTTTCTTCTATGCTTTTAAGAAAGAAGTAAAATCATTAATGAAGTTGGTTTTGTTTGATTAAGACAGGTGTGAACATGAATAATGTTGATTATTGTTTGCAATCATTACGATGAAATCATGTGAAATATTATAATGTGTTTTAACAAACTTCTGAGGATGCAGAGGACAGAGTGAGATGGAGGAGGATGACTTGCTGTAGCGACCCCTGAAGAGGGAAAAGCCAAAAGAAGAAGTTTTATAATTCTCTGTTCTGTTTTTCAGAAACAAACTTTTCCTTGAGAGACACCTGTGTGTGTTATTGAGCTGGATTCTGTTTACTGCAGAAGGAGTCATAACATCGGAAAGATCTCCAAAACACTTCTGAGAGCTGATGGTTTCTTTGTGTGAACCTTTCAGTTCGTCTGTTTTCCCCATTCTGATGTTTTCGTCTGATGACCGTCTTTGTTTATTCCTGATAAAAGAAACATGTTCGCCCAGTTACAAGAAGCAGAGTAGAGTTCCAGTAACTAAACAAGATGAAGTTGTTTGTCTCACTGCGAGACACGTTTTCGGCTTAAAGTGTAATGTGGCTGAAGGTTGCCAATCATCCGCACACCTTCTCCTCAGCTGTCGTTCACAGTGACATTCAGCTACCATGGGCAGTTCCTGGCTGGTCCTCTCCTCATGGTGTCCTGGTCTGATCCACCAGCAGAACCCCAGAAAGATGAGTGAACCCAGCCCTCAAACTGGCCCAGTAAAGGAGCCTGGTGACATGATGCCTCTGGTTATGTCATTTTAGCTGAGGCAACTTGGTAAATCATTTCCTGGCTTGCAGTGATAATAAATGACTTGATCTGATCACATTAAATAACTTCTCTCAACCAATATCCAAAGTAAACTATTTATTAAAATAGTTAAACTTTGAGGAAATTTGTGCGCATATAAAACTCAAAATAAATCCTGCTCAAAGAGTTAATTTTGTCTTAGAATAAAGATAACCCTTGACTGATTAATTATTGTTTAGATTGTTCATTGTTTTAGTAATTACTACTCTTCAAAAAAGTTATTCTTCAAAATTATTATCCTGTTCAGTTTGTTTGTTATTGTTGATGATTCTTAGTTTGATTAATGGTTTTTGTAATAAAACTTCAAAGAAGCACGGCGGTGCAGTTGGTAAGAGCTGCCGCCTCTCAGTGAGCAGGTCACCCCGGTTCATGTCCCATCCAGGGACCTTTCTGGGTGGAGTTTGCATGTTCTCTCCGTATTGCATTGGTTTTCTCCGGGTACTCCAGTTTCCTCTCACAGACCAAAAACATGCATGTTAGGCTGATTGGTAACTCTAAATTGTCTCTAGGTGTGAGTGAGAGAGTGAATGGTTGTTTGTTTCATTTGTCTCTGTGTCCCTGTAATGGACTGGAGACCTGTCCTGGACCCCCGCCTCTCACACAGTGATGGTTGGATATGGGTACCCGTGACCCCCGCGACCTGAAAAGGAAGAAGCAGATAAAGATAATGAATGTATGGATAAAACTTCAAACACAACTTTGGTCTCCTCCTTTGGATGAATATTCATGTGTTATGGTATATAACTCCCTGTAATTAAAGGATTCTACTTCATGGTAAATGTACTATACTTATATAACACCTTTCTATCTTATTTCAAGATACTCAAAGCTCTTTACACTACAATCTGTGTCCTCATTTACCCATTCATACAGCACTCTACTAGATCTCTACAAAGCTAATTGAACAAATCATTCTAATGAGACTAATCAGAGCTTTATCACATTCATACACCGATGGGACACACATCAGAGGCTATGAGGGGTTCAGTGTCTTGCCCAGGGACACTTCGACATGTTACTGCTGGTGGATTCGAACCCCCAACTTTAGCATTGGAGGATGACTGCTCTTACCACTCAGCCATAGCTGCCCCACTTCAGTGACTGAGTTGTGATTGTTAAAGGGTGAATATATCTTGAAATAAGATAGAAAGGCGCAATATACGTACAGTCTATTTACCATATATTAACTAAGTTGTTGCTTGTCAGTAAACTGAGCTGCTGCTTTAACAAATGCAAAACAATAAGTGTAGTAAAGTGAGGAGCAAGAGCTAGCCTTCTTCCTCTGTCCACTCATAAGCTACATTGTCAATTCACTTAACAAAAGCTTTTAAATCCTCGGCCTTATCATTTTCAGGTCTCTCTTGTAAATGAGTCCCTAAGGCTCAATGAGATTAACTTGTAAAAATAATGCTGAATGAATCTGACCTTCACAGTAATCTTAGTGCCTCTAACCTTTGACTTTAAAAAAAAAAAAAAATCTCTCTTTTTTTTTATTCTCTCTTTCATTATTTAGGCATTTAGCAAATTTTATTTATTAATTATTTTTATCCTAACTGAGCTTTTTTGTCTGACTTTATGTCGGACAGTGAGGAAAAAAATTGGTTTTATTTTTAAATAACGGATTCTGACTGGTTTCAACTTAGAGCTGTTGTTTCTAGCCCGGCCTTGCCCGAATTTCGGGTCAGGCCGGGTCAAAATAATGTGCTGGATGGGCGGGCCAGGTCGGTGTCGGGCTTTTGATTGTGTCAGCAGACGCACACAGCTGACGATCCAATTTGGATCACTGTGGGAATCGTGGCCGATTGACCACACGCTGACCGCCTGGTTGAAAGCGGTACAAAAAAATCCAGATGGCTCACTGCCAGCGACTCACTCACCTGCAGCTTAACTGGATCCAGCTGCTGCATCAGCGGACGCATGCGGCCGATGACCGTTAATAACTATAATATCATAATAACTATAATAATCCACTGACTCTTGTTAATAAACAATAAATCTTATATCTTCCTATATTTTAAATATATTTTTAAATCATGTCAAACTGATTTGCTTACAAAAGCAGTAAAAGCTTAATTAAAAAAAAAAAGTCAAAAATGTTTTTTTTTTCAGGTTTGGATCTGTAATCACAGTTAATTGATCGTTTTCAGGTCGGGCTCAAAAAACACGATACAGGTTTGGGCTGGGCCGGGTCGGATTTTTAGGCCCAAATGCAACTCTGTTTCAACTGTATCATAATTTCATTTAGTAAACAATGCACTTGTACATACTCATAATTAAAAAATAAAGAAAACCATGATTTATCAGACCAGGTCACTCTATTCTATTACAATGTTGCCACATCTGTTCCACAAGTGGTCACTATAAGTAGCACTATGATGCAAAAAGCAGAGGCATTGTGTATTTTGCAAACAGCATGATTCTTTATAAGACCTGTCCGTATCATTTTATTGACCACTTTTCCAGCTGCAGGTTCTGATCACTGGAGACTCGGAACACGCCTTGAAATCTTACAGTCAGTTAACCTCATTTTCTCTTCATCAAAATCCCTCAAATGCTTTTTTCCCCTTGTTGTTTAATGTAACAGTCATGAGTTGTATTGTTAAAGCTGATATGGTCTACGTTTCTTCCAGTCAGCATAACGTTTGTGTTTTGATACTGTTGATGGGCGTGTTTTATAAGTTGGAAGACGAGATCAAACATCCTGTATCTGCATCCTCTGAGGCCAGATCTGTCCAGTCAGTTGAGCATAATATTAGCTTTTCCCCAAGATCTATTTCCAGTCTTCCTCTTGCTGTTATCAAGTCAACGACCCGTCAGATGAATTTTCTCTAAATTGTTCCGGCTGGATGACAGAAGGATGGACTGTAGTGTTCAAAACAAGGAAGTTATGGAAGTTGGAGGGGGGTATTGCTTTGTTGACATTTTTGGATTTTTCCTCTTTTTCCTTCTCATGTGCTGCAGAGCCATTGTGTGGTGGACCCCTGCATAACTGCCCTCTTCCTAACCCAGAAATGAGACTGTACCTGTGGACCGAGGATCTGGACATCTGTGAGTCATCTGAAATGGTGTCTGTTCTGTCTTTTTGGGCCATTTTGCTTGATTGTGAAACATTTTTCTGGTCATTTATAAAGAACATGATCAGTGGAGGTAGAGTTCTGAACACACTTTGAGAGACCATTTTAAAAGCAAAGATTGTGAACAAATAATATCCTCATTAGGCAGCATGAATAAAAAGGAACAGTTTGCTTATGATGTGTGGATGTAAAGGGTCATTTTGAAGTACAGTAACCCCTCATCTGTCGTGGGGGTTTACGTTCTGGAACCCCCCGCGATACATGAAAAACCACAAAGTAGAAATGACAGATGTCTGAGTCGAAACAACAAACCAAAACAGTTCAGTCATTAATAAATTTAAATCAAATAAACTAAAGCAAAAGTTTATTTAGCAAGAGTTTATTAATCAAGATAACAATGTTTATTCACTCAACTTAAAATTCTAAGACTTTATAACCGCTTCCTGCGCTCTTTCAATGTTCTAAACTCTTAAACTTTCATCGTTTTAACAGCATGTATAAGTACTGCACAGTACTGCAACATTTTACTCACCAGCTCTGCAGAACAGCAGCTTGATTACAGTCCGGCTCGGTCCCGATTTGGCAGACCTACCCAGCCTTGGTCCGGCTCTGGTCCGATTCTGATCGGCTCTCTGCAGCCCTTGAGCACCAGACACTTTTAGATCAAGCCGGACCTTCAGACAGCCAGCACAAAACCACACAACGGTCCCGATCGAGTCCAAATCCAGATAAAAAAAACAAGTCCCGGTGAGCTCCGGAGAAAACACTGGACCTCCAAGCAACGCCTCCCCGCTCGAGAGGCTCCCTGGACCAGCGAGCAGCACCCAGCTTGACTGATGAGGCTGGAAGTCTGGTTCTAGTTCAATTCCCGGTCAGTTCCATGCGGCTCTCTGCATCCACTGAGCGCCAAAGTCACTGTGAATAAGGACCAAACTTTTTCCCATCAGATCAAAACTTTCCCTCCATTTCAGCAGAAAGCAACTTTGCCTTCTGGACAGTGCACTGTTGGCTTCTGGGTAATGTAGTCCTTTAGACTGGTTATACAGTGTAGGCTTGTTGAGAGAAAACTACAAAATGTCTGCACCTTTTTTTTCTTTTTTCTTTTTGGTCTTGTACAATCTTACAGTACTGAACTTTGAAAAACCGTGAAAGAGCGAATCAACAAAAGTCGAACCATGAAGTAGCGAGAGACTTGTGTAATGTCTTAACGAAGGCCAGTTAAAGGTATGGAAACCATACCAGACTTATCACTCTGAGAATTTGTTGTTCTCACAAGTTGAACCCAACAGTGTTGGTCGGATACAAAGTGATGTAATGAAGTCATGTTTTACTGCAGCCTTTATATGACGGTGTAATTCATCACAGCCCACTAAAACTTTACTTGGTGAGATTGATTTCTATGAGGAAATGTCCTGAGCAGAACAATCCTGGCTGCTTTGTTTACGATGAGCTTCATTAAAAATCTGCCTGTATCTTTGGTGAAATATGACAGTCAGTAAACACAGATAGAGTAATGAAATGAACTCTGTGCGTCATCACGTTGCTTTGGTTTTGTTGACAACAGGGCGTGAGCTGTTCAAATGGTTCCGATCCAGTTCTGTGTCAGAGAACTTCTCCTGCCTCAGCCAGGAGCAGGAGGACTTTGAGGTGGACGAATCGACCTACAACCTGTCAGCCGACATGGCTCGCTTCTCTATCCTGTCCAACGACAGCGGCATTGAAAGAGACCTGCCGTCCAGCTTTGACATGTCTCCATCTTCTTCTCTGGACAGCCCCTGCTTGAGTTCATCATGGGAACAATGCAAAAGGTATTGACTCCTTTTTATAAAAATAGCCCTGCTAAACATTCTGCTACAAATTCAGCTACAAATACTGTAGTTTTTAAGTTGTGAGCTATATCTAACTCAGCTGAGACAAAGCTGGTAATAATCACAAACAGATGAAATATGAACACTTAAACAAAATAAATTATATTTATGGTAAAAAAGTACATTATTTAAGGAGAGGGGCCATTCAAACCTGTTATCAACACACAATTCAGAAACTGGCCTCTCTGACATTATGGGGGTGCATTAGTGCCTCTGACATGGGCAGCTTAAACATCTGGAAAGGTACAATCAATGCAGAAAGGTATTTACAGGTTTTAATCAATCAATCAACCTTTATTTATACAGGTAAATCCCATTGAGCCTCGAGGACTCATTTACAAGAGAGACCTGATTTCAACAAAGAAAGATGACAACAATGGACAACAGCAACAACAATAAACAGTTATAAAAAAGCATACTACAGTTTTTTTTTTGTTTATTTTTTAACAAATAGAATGGCTAAAAGGAAAAGGTAACAAAACAAAAAACAGCTAGATTCCAAGACAAATGTAGAAAACTAAAAACAGGAACATGTCAGCATTGGACCCTGCCAGGTGTCCAACAGATTCTTAAAGACACTTAGAGAGGTCAAGCTTCAAATCGTTTTGTAAGATATTCCAGGAAACAGGAGCGGAATAGGAGAAGGCCCTTTTGCCTAGTTCAGTCCTCATTGAGGGAACACTGCAGGTAATAATGTCCTGAGAGCGCACTCCGTAGCTGCACTCACGCAGAGACATGTAGGAGGAGATGTATGAAGGCAACAGACCAAGAAGTGATTTAAAGATGAAAATATACCAGTGAGAGAGTCTGCGTGAAGTTAATGATGTCCAGTTAACCAGTGAATACAGTGTGCAGTGGTGGGTACAATAATCACAGCCAGTTATGAATCTTAGTGCACCATGATAGACAGCATTCAACATCTGCAGGGTTCTTGTAGGAGCGTTCATGTAAATAATGTCACCATAATCAATTGAGGGAAGGAAAGTCACAGATACAAGGCGTTTTCTAGCATTCAGGGTTAGACAGGATCTGTTTCTGAAAAAGAAACCCAGTTTAACTTTCAGTTTCTTTATCAAGTTTTCCACATGGAGCTTAAAAGAGAGATGTGAGTCGACCAAGACACCCAAATATTTATAGGAATCAACAAACTCAATGGGGACACCATTAGAGGATAAAATCGGAGGAAGAACCGCTGGGACCAACTTCCTATTTGAAAAAAGCATCCCTTTGGTTTTGTCGGCATTTAGGACACGTTTGAGGCGAAACAAATCAGTCTGGATGATGTTGAATGCAGATTTCAAAAGCTGGAAAGCCTTAGCAACAGTTTTAGCTCGACAATAAACAACTGTGTCGTCAGCATAGAAATGTATGGATTCATTAGGGATGTTTTTACCTACATTATGTATGTAGATTGTAAAGAGGGTGGGTCCTAAGACTGAGCCTTGTGGTACACCATTGTTGACTGTTAAATAACTGGAGGAAGTACCATTATGTTGAACACATTGCCTCCGGTCTGAAAGATAGTTAGAGAACCAACCAATGGTGTGTTCTGAGAAACCAATTTCTGAGAGTTTATGACACAAGATGTTATGATCCACAGTGTCAAAAGCTTTAGACTGGTCTAAGAAAAGTGCAGCACAATAATCCTTAGCATCCAGTGCTTCAACAACATCATTAAGAACCTTCAGTGAAGCAGTGGTTGTGCTGTGTTGTTTCCTGAAACCAGATTGATGTGGAGGTAAGATGTTAAATGAGTCCAGGTAATTTTTGATTTGAGAGTTTATCAGTTTTTCTAGAACCTTGGCTAAAATGCAGAGTTTAGAGATTGGTCGATAGTTGTTCAGTGAGGTGGGGTCTCCTCCCTTCAGCAAAGGAAGAACAAAGGCTGTTTTCCAAGTGTCTGGGATGGAGTTTTGTCTTATGGAGAGATTGAAGATGTGGGTCACAGGGACTGTGATGATATGAGCGGCCAGCCTTAAGATATAAGGTGGAAGTTCATCTGGACCTGCAGATTTTTTAGGATCAAGATCTATTAACAGTTTATTGACCTCACTAACTGAGAATGGAGAAAAAGAGAAGCTGTGATTAACTGAGGATTGACTTGTAGGAGGGATTTGATTTGTAGAAGTTTGGTTATTAAGTGAAGTGGCTGATCTTCCATTAGTAACTGTGTCAAATAAAGAACCAGAAGCAACAAAATGTTTGTTGAGACAGTTCAGGATCTCGTGCTTATTTGACACAGGAGCAGAGTTAACGAGAAGTTGTGATGGGAGGTCAGATGATTGGGGGGTGCCTGAGAGAGATTTGATGGTTTTCCAGAATCTGTTAGGGTCATTTAGATTTTTGGAGGTCTGAGATAAGAAATAGTTGCGTTTTGCTGCTTTGACAGCAGTTGTGCATTTATTCCTCATCTGTCGAAAACTCAACCAATCAGTGTCTGAGCCAGATTTTCTCGCTGCAGCCCAAAGATGATCTCTCCTGTGCAGGAGGTCAGCTAGCTCTGGAGTAAACCAGGGGCTGTCTCGTCCCTTTATTCTGAACTGACGAAAAGGAGCATGTATGTTCAGGAAATAAATGAAATTATTATGGAAATAGTTCCAAGCAGAGTTCACGTCATCAGTTAACAGAATACGATGCCAGTCAAAGTGAGACAGATCCCAGAGGAATGACTGTTCACAAAAACGTTTCAAATCCCTTTTTTGAATTAATCTGGGCTTAGAAGGTGGAAGTTTAATATCTCTCAAAGCAGCTGTCACACAGTGATCACTCAAAAGATCAGCGAATACACCTGTACCAGGGAATTTGTGAGGCATATTAGTTAGAAACAGGTCTAAGATGGAGGAATTTTCAGGATGGTTTTTATTTAATCTAGTGGGAGAATTTATCAGTTGGGTTAAATTAAAAGACAAGCAACATTCCTTGAATTTGTCACAGAGGGGGGTCGACTTACACCAATCAATGTTGAGATCTCCAGCCAAAAAGATCTCTTTGAATTTTAAATTACCAAGAAATTCCTTCATGGCAGTTAATGCCTCAGGTGATGCTGAGGGTGGGCGGTAACAACCTACTACAGTTAAAATCTGGCCTCCATTCAAGGTGATATTTACAGATAAGGCTTCAAACTGGTTTGGAATTGTTTTGGAAGTCACAAGACTAGAAACCAGAGAATCTCTAATGTAAATAATGACTCCACCCCCCCTTTTTTGACGATCACAGCGGTAGATGTTAAATCCATTGATTGCCACGTCATTATTCATTACAGATTTGTTGAGCCAGGATTCAGAAGTAAAGATAACATCTGCCCCAGAAGAACTAACCAGGATTTTCAAAGCATCCAGTTTTTTCAGAAGGCTACTAGCGTTTACATGCAGAAAATGAAGCCCAGAGGCGTTTTTAAAGTCATTTGGTGTGCTGTAATTAGTGGGGGGTCCAGGGTTGGGCTGAATCCCTGAGAGCAGTAACAACATTATTATCAGACATTTTCTTGAGCTTTTTGTGACTGATGTGTAATTACAGCAGTTAACAGTGAGACAATTAGCCCCCATAATCGAACCATGAGAAACATTAATGAAGACGTGATCATTCAGAACCCAAAAACAATGAAAGTTGCAGTGATGGACAGATTCAGGTGTATTAACAAGATTCAGTGACTCCAGATAATCTGAGAACTGAAAATAGTGACAGTAATATGAATGATGCAGAAAAGTTTCAGACCATAAAACGTCACAGTTCAAATGGGCAAACAAACCCGACGAGTTGGCCCAACTGCAGTTTGAGTTGGGCTGTGGGGACAACATTAAAGACAACATTATGTCCCCATCTAGAAGACGTCTTACAAGGAAGGCCTTGATGGCATCCTATACAACAGCATGGCATTGTAGTAGAAGAGTCCAGGTGCTGGACTGACCTGCCTGCAGTCCAGACCTCTCAACATTATAAAAGAAAACATCTAGCAAAGACGACCCAGGACTGTTGAACAGCTGGAATCCTACATTAGAAAATTGGAACAACATTCTCCTCCTAGAACTCCAGCAGCTGGCCTAATCTGGTTTTTCAAACCCACTTTCTGGAATACCCCAAGTTTTTTTTTTGGTTGGCTGTTTGTTGTGGTTTAGTTCAATTAAATATTCTAATTTGGTCGTGAAGCATGAAGCGTGGCCCCTTTATTCTTCAGTTTGATCCACTCTTTCACCTCTGATGTGACAATCGTGGATGGATGGACAATGGATGGATGGATGATGGATGGATGATGATGGATGGATGGATGGATGATGATGATGGGTGGATGATAGGGGTGGGCGATATGGCTCAAATATAATATTGTGATATTTCTGAGCATTCTGGCGATAACGATAAATTTTGTGATATAACAAAAAAACAAACAAGTATAAAAATAAAAAAATTAAAATGATCCTTCTTTTATTTAGATTGAAAAAGTCCGCACAAAATATAGATCAATAAATCCACCACAAAAACTAAAGTGCAGGTGAAGTTTCCCAAAATAACTAAATAAAATGAAGCTTAAGATCTGTTGATAATAAATGTAACAAAATATATGTTTCCTTTAAATGAGCTATAACTTCCAGAACTTGTAACAAGGTGATCAGCTGACCCTGAAGCTTGATGGTGTTTCAGCTTCCTCTGTTCCTGCAAGAATGATTAATTTCTCTGATGCTCTGTCTCTGATCACCTGACTCTGTTCTTGCTCCATGGACTGTGGAACTAAGAGAAAGACCTGCACGTGTTTGTACCGACAGTTTAGAGCGGGAGGAGACACAGCCGAGAGCTGCACCGGCAGCTCAGATCGGGGTGGGGGGAGAGACAGTTGAGTTGTCTGTACCTGCAGTTTAGAGCTGGATGGAGAGATGCAGCCGAGCCACGCGTTGTTTGTTTTTAGCTTTATAGCTAGCTAGTATTGTACGCAACTAATTAGCGTTACACCAGTACCAACAGGTGTGTTGTGTGTGTGTGTGTGTGGGGGGGGGGGGTGCGCAGTTCGGTTTGGTCATTCGGCGCACGTGGTTCTGTTAACGGGGCGGGGCGCCCTGACGTATTACGTCATGAAATTAGCATATCATGATATCATTTATTTGCCCGGGCAAGCTTTTTTTACCGGTATTATTGTAAACGATGATATGGCCCAGCCCTAATGGATGATGATGGATGGATGAATGGATGGATGGATGATAGATGGTTGGAAAATGGATGATGATGGATGGATGGATGATTGATGGATGATGGATGGATGGACGATGGATGAACGATGGATAGATAGATGGATGGATGATATGATGGATGATGGATGGTTCGATGATAGATGAATGATGGATGAATGGATGGATGAATGCTGTATGAATGAATGGATGGATGGATGATAAATGAATGGATGGATGAATGATAGATGAATGGATGGATGATGGATGAATGAATGGATGGATGAATG